TCCTCTGAGACAATACAGGAGTCTGTTCTTACCTGGAACTCATTGATGTATTGTGCCATCACAAATTCATGCCTCTCACCGGCTGAAGGCTCTGCTAAAATATCAGGGAGACTCTTGGAAACTTGGTTTTTCCTCTGGGAATCGGTGCCATTGAGGTGACAGTCAAAGCCAATGTTTCCAGGCAGCTGGAATCTCTGATCCTGAGGTCCAAAGGGCCCCATCACTTCATCTGGCCACACAGTCCTGGGACCTGCAGGAGCCAAGGCCTTGCTTTAGTCACCACTCCCAAAAAAAAAGGGGAAAAAAACCAAATGAAACCCCCTCTCCCACACAAATATTTGCTCACCAAGTAACCCCAAGGCACAAAATGAGGGCCCTGCCATAAAAACCACACTCAGAAATGTCTCTGGAGTGCAAAGTTCTGACAGCACACGGGTTCAAAGGAAAGGAATTTGCTTTTTCTTACATAAATCAGGAGGTGCAGCAGCCACATGAGGCTCATCTGAGCCAGAGGAACCTGCTGTGGAAAAAGCCTTGGGATTTACAACTCTTTTGACTAAGGAATAAAACCCTGGGAGGTAGGTGACCAATCTTGCTCTGTTACAGAGCACCTGAGGAGACAAAAAACAAAAGGACAATTACAAACTGCTCCCCAAAAACTCAAGAGTTTAACACAGCCCCGTGGGTCACAAAGAAATCCCTGCTCCACAATTCAATTACAACCTTAATGATGATCAACTGTAGCATCACGTTTCAGAAGTGTTTGGTTGTTATTTTGATAGTTGACTGGTTTATTTGCAAAATATTTAAATATTTTACTGTTTATTTTCAAAATCAAAACACTCCTCATAGGAGGAAAAAGCCCTGAAAACTTGAAATAGCACCAGTGAAACCCCACAACTTAAAGTAAATTATGGATGGGGATTCTTTCCATGATTATTTCCATGCATGTCACTGTTTCCAGGATTATCACAATTCCAGCATGGGGGTGATTATCAGAAAGACTTAGTGATATTGCTAATTATTGTTAATTATTGTTAATTTTCAACAATAGCTCATTGTTCATTTTCAGAATTAACTTTGAAGCCTAATGACAATATTTTAAGGAGCAACACAAACAACTGTTATTGTTTTTTTGTGGTTGTTTTGGTTGTGGTTTTTTTTTAAGAAGAAGAAATATCCAGGTGGTGCCATTAAACAGAGAATTCTGACCTATTTTTTATGCTTTAGAAAAACACTGACAACTTTCAAGCTGCACTGACACACTCAGAATAGGAAAAAAAAAAACAAGCAAACACTCCAGATGGAGAGTTGGGAGAGTAATTTTAAAAAATGAAGATTAAACTCCAGCACAAAACTGCTGCTATCTGACAAAACTGCACCAATTTTGCAGGTATTACTGGAAAATACAAATATCACCTACCAGAGGGTGTGGGTTTTTTTGTAAAATTCTATTTTCCAGGTGAGGGAGAGAAACTATTTTCAGAAAATGACACAAAGGGATTTTCCTTAAGTGCTGCAGCTTTGATTCCATAAATATTTATGCACCTGTTCACCACTAAATATTTCTGCAGCCAGGTTACTTCAAAAAGAGGGAGTAAATGCTGCTATTTGTATGTTTAATATAAAAACTGTATTTAAAGTATCAGCACTTAAGGCAATAAAAGCACCAATTTCTTCCACACCACCTCTGTGTAAATATAAAATAAGTCCTGCCAACATCATAAAGACTCAAATGCTTAGAGAAGCATTTAATTTATGATTTAAATCAATTATTTAAAGCCTTAAGCTGTTTAGTTATAACAGAGGTTTAAAAGGCTCCTTTAACACAACAATCTGATGCCACTTAAGTTCTTTTTTTTCTGTTATATAAAATGACTACTGAAATTAATTTCTGCATAATGATTGTATTATAAACAGATGTAAACAATTCCAGCTGACACGTAATTACAAGAGAAGAGCTTTTTTTTCTTTATAATCAGGGCTCACTTAACATGGAGATGTCATTAATTACAGCTATGACTGAGCTCACTCATGCAAATATTGACACACCTGGCATTACACAAGCAAGAAAACACCGCTGAAATCAATGAATTATTCATGGCTCCATGGCAAGAATAAATCAATAAAGGGGGTTTTATTCTCCAGTGTGAAAGGAGCCTGGTGAACACGAGCACTGCAGGATCAGAGAACTGCACCTGAGCTCGGGATGTTACAACAAGCACAAAACAAACTGTACTTAATCCTAGATCAACCCTGTGATATTTTAGGTAAAAGACAGAAAGTTTACATGGGATATTGGGAAGGAATTCTCGGCTGTGAGGGTGCTGAGGACTGGAATGGAATTTCCAGAGAAGCTGTGGCTGCCCCTGGATCCCTGGAAGTGTCCAAGGCCAGGCTGGATGAACTTGGAGCAACCTGGGCTGGTGGGAGGTGTCCCTGCCCATGGCAGGGAGTGGGACTGGATGAGCTTTAATGTCCCTCCCAACCCAAACCTGTCTGTGACTCCTTTTAACCCTCAATTGGACAATTCCCGTGATATCCACGGAATTCGGTGGCACTCACATTGGCCATGGCAGACGCCGCTCTCCTCTCGCCGACAGTCCCGGATGCCCCTGGAAAAGAAAAGGAGAGGAAGGAAGAGGAAAGAGAAGAGAGAAGGGAGACGGAAGGGAAAGGGAAAAGGGAGGAGAAGGAAAAAGGAAGGGGAAGGGAAGGCGTTGGACTCCGCCGCCCCGGACCCCCCTCACGGCCGATCCCCTCAGGGGTGCCCGGTGTCACAGGGCCGGGGCTGCCAGGGACAGACGACGGGAAGAGAGAAGTGGACAGGGAAAAGGGGATGACTAGCAGGGATATGGAAAGGGGGATCGGGGAGCGCTCCCGGGGCACTCCCGGCCCCTCTCACCTCTTCCTGCAAAATGGCGGCGCCCCCCCGCCCCCGCCGCGCCCTCGCCGCGCGCTCCCAGCCCGGGCCAGCCGAGCCGCCGACACCTCGATTAGAGGCGGCGCAGAACCAGCCAGAATCGGCCGCTCGGCGCTCGGTTGCTCGGGGCTGAGGATGAGGCGGTGGGGGGCTCGAGGGGAGAAGCGGCGATGGCGGCGGGGACGGGACGGCGACGATCGTGGTGGGGCCGGGGCGGCCCCTCGGGGCGGCCTCCAGCCGGTGTTATCCCGTGCTATGGCGCGGAGAAGCGCGCCCGTGGGTGCGGCGGTGGCGGCTCGGCGGGCGCGGTGGTGCAGTACCCGCCGGGGGCACCAGGGGGCGGTCACGGAGCGTCAACCGCGCTCACGGTCACTCCCCCCAGTACCTTCGTGGGGATACTGAAGTGGAAAATGGGGAGAAAAAGGGGCTTTTTCTCCTGAAATATGCGGAGGAAAGGGGATTTACTATGGAGGGAATGAAGACTGGAGTGTTTCCACCACTGCGATTCCCGGGGGATCCCTGGGAAGGCAGAGCATCAGTGTCGCTGCTGCCACAACACCAGGACTTGGAGGCGAGACCTCGAAGAACTGTTGTACAATATAAGAATAAAAACCTTCAATGTCTTTTGTTGTTGATTATTTTTTCTTTTTCCCTTTTTCTGGGGGGGGAGGGAGAGAAAGGCTCCCCAGGGCAGTGGTCACGGCCCCAAGGCTGCCAGAGCTCCAGGAGGGTTTGGATGATCCTCTGGGGGACAGGGTGGGATTGTTGGGGTGTCTGTGCAGGGCCAAGGGTTGGACTGGATGGTCCTTGGGTGTCGCTTCTGTTAATTTCTGTACTTGCTGATAATTAACTGCAGAAGTTATTAATGCAAACGAATATGTAGGCTCTGAAATTGTTCTTTGTGTGGTGCTGGATCAGCTTGGAGGGATCCCAGCACGGGTCTCTCCAGCAAAGGGAAGGGTTGTGATTTTACTCCACTCACCATCTGAATGTCCCAGAGAAGCTGTGGCTGCCCCTGGATCCCTGGTAGTGTCCAAGGCCAAGCTGGATCCACTGAAGGTGCTCCAAGCTGGGTTTATGGGTAGATCTTTGTTGCTCCAAGGAAAACAGGTGACACAAAGGAGGCTGATGTTTGCTGTTGAGCCCTGGTGACTCCAGGGGTTCTGCTGAATAAAGAAATTGTTGTCCACAGAGAATGTGTCGAATATACATGAAGTCAGTAGGGCTCAGCCAGAGCACTGATCCCAAAACCATGTCTCTGTGCATGTGTAGAGCTCCTGCCTGTGTTTTTTTTCCGGAATTCTGCTGGTTTTCCAGTCCATAACCTTGGTTCAAATTGCCATCCTTTTTTTTTTTTTTTTAATGTCACCTGGAACATGACACGTTTGTCCCGCTCTGACCCGAAGTGTATTTGTAGGAAGGACCATTTTAGCTCCTTCTTTATCATCATCCCTTCAAACAGCCATCATTCCATAGGAGGATGGAATCCAGGATCCCTGGAAGTGTCCAAGGCCAGGTTGGATGGTGCTTGGAGCAACCTGGGCTAGTGGAAGGTGTCCCTGTCCATGGCAGGGGGTGGAAAAAGATGATTTAATGTTCCTTTCAACCCAAACCATTTTGGAATTCTGTCTCTCCCAAATGCCTCCTCACCATCCACACCTTTTCAGCTTTTCTAACAAAACCATCTATGAATTTTCTGCTGCTGAGTCCAGAGCAGCCCCCACAGACACTGTGCTGAACAATCTCCTCATCTTTGTCTTCAAGTCCAGTGTTTTCTGTTTGCCCAGCACCAACCACCCTCTGTTCCTCCTTTTCACAAGCCCTGGCAGCGCTGGAAAGGGAAGGCAGAAGCTTTGTGGGCAGCTTAAGGCTGGGTATTGTTTTCAGGTACCTTTTTTGTGGCGTGTTCAATATTGTGATTTCATTTAAATCAGGAGCTCTTTGAGGCAAAAACCTCCCCACTTGCACATGTGGGGAGTGCTGTGCATACTAATGCAACTATTTAAATGCTGAATTAAAAATATCAGGGGAGAGGTGCCCAATCCCAAATCTGCTTTAAAGCTCATATAAAAGAGCTGTTTTGCTGCACTAGAGGGGAAACACAGACAAACCACTTCAGAATACCAGGATTAAGACTCTTCTTTCTTATTTTTTTTTACCATTTCTTTGCTGTCTGTTCCAAGCTAGTCAAGAAAAAGGAACTTTAATCTCTTCAGAATAAAAGATTGGGCATTCAGATCCCTCAGTGACTCTGCACATGACCTTTATTTAACGTACTTTATTATAAACCAGATAATTCTGGACATTTATTTGGCTTTGCTGCTGGTTTATAAGGATAAATTTATTAGCATAAACCAGGTTTCAATATATAATAATATATAAAAATATATAATAATATAATAATAAAAGCTTTCAATATATCACTCTGCAGTTCAAAATCAGAGCAAGAAATTGGTTTTGTGGTCATAATATTCAGCCTACAATGTTCTTATTGCATTTAATAAAATTTTGGCTTTATTTGATGGCGATCAAGAGGAAATTATTATATCCAATTCCAAACACTATGATATATTAAGGAGCTATAATGTTGCAATTTTGATTTTTGGACTCTTTCATGAGAACATTTGCTTACTATTGCGCACCACCCAACTATTTTATTAATTCCATGTTGGCACACTTAATTCTTGTTTGTTTTTAAATTAAATGTCCATGTTGAATCTCTGAACTTCAGCAAAAAAAACCCAAACAACAAAATGCTGGAGAAATTCAACTTTAACTCTTTACAGAATATAATTCAGATAAATTGGATTCCAACCAGCCTGTATTGACTTGTCCTGAGGCAATCCCAGTTTATCTCCTCTCCAGGGTGAGCACTTGGAGATACTCAAATCAATCAATGAGTTATCACCCCCCTGAAGTTTGTGGCCTGAATTCGTAAAGATTCATTTCAATCAAGTTTCTACCTCTATTCAAAGGGGGCTGCAAAATCAAACAATCCAATTACGGATTTATCAAATATTAATAATGAAAATCTCCCAGATCTTTTGGATGCCAACATTCCTCTCCCCTGGTGTCAGGAAAGTAATTAGCAGCTGGCTTTGATTAAATTCTTCCCTCAGAGATTACTCCTCTCGGTTTGAGGAAGGAATGCACACAAGATGATCCCTAATTCCTCATTTTAAAGCCTGTTTTGGTTCAGTTCAGTGAAGCTCAGTCTGTGCCCAGGAACCTGCAGCAATTTTGGGGGTGAAACCTGAAGAGCACGAGTGGCTTTTCCTGAGATGCTCTTTTTCCTTGGCTTTGGGCTCCCCAGCACAGGAAGGACGTGGAGCTGTTGGAGCAAGTTCAGAGGAGGCACCAGGATGATCAGAGGGATGGAGGTCCTCTCCTATGAGGAAAAGTTGAGAGAACTGGGATTGTCCAACCCGGAGAAGAGAAGACTCTGGGGAGACCTGAGAACTCCTCCCAGTGCCTAAAGGGGCTCCAAGAGAGCTGAAGAGGGACTGGGGACAAGGGATGGAGGGACAGGACACAGGGAATGGTTTCCCACTGCCAGAGGGCAGAGATAGATGGGATATTGGGAAGGAATTGCTGGCTGGGAGGGTGGGGAGGCCCTGGCCCAGGTTGGGCAGAGAAGCTGTGGCTGCCCCTGGATCCCTGGAAGTGTCCAAGGCCAGGTTGGATGGGGCTTGGAGCAACCTGGGCTGATGGAAGGTGTCCCTGCCCATGGAATGAGATGATCTTTAAGGTCCCTTCCAACCCAAACCATTCTGGGATTCTGTGTTTCTGCCAGTCTCTGTTTTTGGTGACAGTGGTTTCCTCGTGGCTGCAGCACCAGGAAGAGTCTCAGCAGCTGCAGGAATGTCAGAGCGAGGAGGAGGTAGAAGGGAACTTTCCCAGACACCACCACCCTCTGCCTGAAAACTGAACTCCCAACCTCCTTGGGGTTCTCCTTCTCCATCCCCAGACTTGCTGGAATCCTCTCTCTGTGAGCAGGAGCAGCCAGAGGTGCCCGAGAAGGTGTTTGGGTGCCTACAACAAGCACAGGGTGAATTTTCAGCCCTTCCCTGTCTGCTCTTCCATGAACCCAGAGAAGCTGTGGAAACTCCACTGTTGGAGGCTTTCAAAACTCAGTGTGATGAGGTCCTGGAATTGGACTGGAGAGCTCCAGTGTGGAGATGTGGCTTTTCCTGCCAACAGGTGCTTCTGTGCTCATGAAAAACAGAGGAATCTCCTCACACAAACATCAGATGCTCCTGGATGGTCCAGTGTTCCTCAGCACCTGCACCAGGACAGGTAAGTGTGGGATCTTCAATATCTATTGTCACCTGTTTATTTGGGACTGATGGACCTGGATTCCTGGGAGTTTGGCCTTCCTTGTCCTCTTCACTCGTTGCACAAACAAGACCTTAATTAAAACCTCTTTGTCACCATCCCTATCCATTACCTTACAGGTAACATTTTTGTTAAGCCTGTCCAAATAGAGGCTTTTGGAATCCTCCACTAAGCATTAGAACTGCAGGTTTTCCCTGTTTTCCCTAATTTCATCCTTAATGTGGATTTTGCTGCTTGTATTTCCCATTCCCCCCTGCACTTAACCAGCTATGATTCACTGGTTAACTGGAATTGCCCCTGGTTGTGGGAGCAGTGGGTTTTTTTCATTTGAATACTGCAGAAGCCTGTTAAGTGGTCATAAAAATAAGGAGATATTCTTTATTCCCGTTGCACATCTCTCTGTGCAATGATGGATGGAGCTGGGACTTGCAATTTATCTAATGGCCTCCATTAAACTTCATTA